GGGGACAATAGAGTGAATGGTTTGGACTATTTGGTTAATGGCCTGGAGGTCTTTTACTAGTTGATATGACCCATCTGATTTCTTTACAGGTAATATGGGGTATTATATGGAGACATACAGGGTTCAAGTAACTTATCCTGAATAAGACCTTCAGTCCCAGTTTTCAGGCCTATGGTGCCTTCTAGAGGAATTGGATGTTGCCTTCTGCTTTCCCCAGGGGTTTTCAACTTTGTATGAATTGTGAGGCATTCTTAGTTTCCCTCAGTTCCCTTCTTTTGACCACAGATTGGGATGAATGTAACTTTTTTCTGTGGTAGTGAGCAGGTTCAATGAAGTGAAAAATCCTTCAGGGCAGGCATGCAGGCCTATGCCTAGTTTAATATCAGGTCTCCTAACAGGTTTGTTCCTGCTTCAGGGATTAGCAGGAATTTAATACTGGCTGATTGATTTTTGTATTTAACTTCTGTTTCTTCTAAAACTTTGGCTTTAAATCCTTCTCCTTTCACCCCTAAGATGAGAAGTTCCTCTAATGAGCAGTTTATATTAGAGGGCCAATAACAAACAAAGGAACCAGCAGCCCTGAATCTGTTAAAAAGGTGATAGCTCATGTTTGGGTCCCACCTCTAAATTTATCAAGAGCTCTTGGTGGGACTTGAGATGGAAAGGACAGAGCCCCTGGCCTCCCTATTCCTCCTCGAATGCCATGAGTGGAACAATTTCTTTTTCCTTTTCCCACTGGGGGCATTCTCTTTTGAAGTGGCCTGCTCTTCCACATTTGAAGCACCTATCCTGAGTTCTTCCTCTCCCTCAGTTTTAGGATTCTTTGACCTTGCTTCCCCATACTCTTTAGATGGCCTGGTAACTGAGGGTCCGGGTCCCCTAGTTGGAGGCTTGGGTCCTCTAAACAGGGGTTTGGACCCTTTATAATTCCTGCCCCGACTGGAGTCTCTGTTTAGAAACATACAGGCTTGAAGCCATCTGTTGGAAGTGGATAGCATAAGTTTCGGTTTTTGTTTTTGCTTTTCTTCATCTCTCCTCACATGTACTTTTTGGGCTTTTCCTAGGAGTTCCTCTATGGACTGGTTTTTCCAGTTTTCTAGTTTCTGCAACTTCTTTCCTACGTCTGGCCAGCTATTTGTGGCAAAATGTAGCTTTAACATTCCTTGCCTGAGAGGGTCTTCTGGATCTAAATCTGCATATTTCCTCAGTTGTTCCCTTAGTCTTTTTGGAAATGTCATGGGGCCTTCATCTTTTTCTTATTGTATGTCACAGGCTCAGGAAAGAGTCAGAGTGAGGGGCACTGACTCCTGAATTCCTTTAATTATCATTTCCCTAAGATCTTTCATGTGTTCTCAGTGTACTGCATTGTTATTTTCCCATTGAAGATCTTGGGCCAGGAATTTCTGGTCTGCTGCAGGAACGTTTTGGCTGGGAGGGTGTTCACATTCCCCAGTTGTCATAGCAGCCCTGCAAATCATCGCCCTTTCTTTCCCTGAGAAGAAGATACACAGGATGAACATTGATTCAGCCCAGGTGTATAACTGGGGACCTAGGAATTGATCAATTTGGTCTGCTACCCCATATGGGTCATCTAGCAGTGGCTTAAGTTCTTTTCTTAAACCTCGAACCTCTGAAATAGTCAAAGGAGCATTTGCAAAGCCAATAGCTCCTCCTCCTTGGGGCACCTGTCTCAAAGGACAGATAGTTGGAGCTGATTCCTTAGAGGTAGAGGGGAAAGGAAGATTTTGAATATCTTTTTTATATTGCTCTACTTCATGTTGCAGTCCCATTAGGGAAGGATACTTAGGCTGACAAGGAGCAGGCTCATGGGGTGGCGGTAATTCCCAAGAGTCAGACTTATAAGGGGGAGGAATAATAGGAGTAGGAGAAGGATCCGGGACTGGGTCTGGGGCAACAGCAGCTGCCTACAAAGGGGGCAGGTCAAGAAGGGGATAAACAGGGGAAGGTGGTTTAGAGAATCCCAGGAGTTGGGAGTCCTCTGCCTAGCAGTTGGTTTTACTACGCCTACTTTGGGGAGTGTGAAATCTGATCCTTCCCCTGCATTCTTTAAGGGAAAGAGGAGAACAGGTTCTTTTCTCCAGCAGACAGCATAGTCTCTTTCTTCCTGCGAAACTGGAATTTTGTCATTCACATACTGAATTAAAAGTTGACAGACCCAATCCTCATCTGATCCATATTTTGGCCAGAAGATAGCAGGTTTGAGGATGGGTTCCTTGGCCCAGATGAAACAACAATACTTTATCATCTGTTGCTTTTTCTTGTGCCTAATCCTCTCATTCTCCTCTCCATATTTTAGCATGAGACCTAAAGGACTATTGGAGGGGATATGACTATCCCCTTCCTTACCTTTGCCTGTTGTATTAGGAGTGTTTCCAATCTTGGAGGTTTTGGATGCTCCCTTGAGTGTGTGTGTGGTCCAACCTCTCTTACTAGAGATCTCTTGCCTTCCCTTTTCTCTAGAGGCTCACACCCCTTACTGGAGGTTTCTAGCACTCCTTTCCATTTGCTTCGTCCTATCTGGCCACTTCCCTTTTGGGAAATTAGATCCCTCTTAGCATTGACATGCTGATATAAGCCCCATGGCAGGATCCACCCTAAGCCATATGAAGTGACCACAGAACCACAGATAGAACCCACTCACCCCACACAACAGTAGTGCTTATCACCATTCACACAAGCAGCACCACAAGCAGTGATCATTTACGCACACTTTCAACCTCCAAGATATCTCGACTACCAAGGAAATATTTCGCTGCCCCTCTGCAGCTTTTCTTACCTTGGGCTGTGCACGAAGTTATCTGGTCACCATGGTGTTTGTATGCAAGCCTTTCCTTCCCACAGTGCTGAGAGTCCGGGTTTATTCATCACAGCGGGTGGTGGCTGTATCTCTAGCCCCTGAGACCACCGCAAGGAGGCAGTGGGATGCATCTCCCCATGGGAGATGACCAGAGACCCCTTCCCCAGAGGAAAATGGGAATCCTGGGCAGGCCCCCAAATTGTTAGAAACAAAGATTTGGTGCCACAAAGTGAAACTAGCACTCAGGCAAAAGTTTTCTCAGCAAGGAAATTTACTTCTATAGAAGGGTGCCTCTTGCATGCAAGGCAGAGGCAAGGGAGAACACACAAAACAAAGGAGAGCAGGAGATTTTTAATCCATAACTCAGACCCTGTTCCTGTGTTCTCCCACTGTGAGCTGGGGTCGGACCGTACAACCTAGGCTCACTCCAATCTAGGGTAATCTAGGATACTGTTGGACATCATCAAAGGAGGCAAGGGTGGGCGTTTGATGGGAAGGACAGGTCTGGTACATCATGGAGTGTTTGGGCGTAGCAGAGATAGGGAGGGCTGATAGATGAATGGGTATGATTACCTTTTAGAATAGAACAAATAACTAGGAATTGAAACCCTTTGAAGGGGAACTATTTGTTCTTAACAACAAAATGATACCATCAGCAATATGTTTTCACCATTTTCCCTCTATTTCTCTGTGCTGGCTTCCTTTTTAGGCAGAATCAGTTTATATAGTGGCAAGAGTGGCCACTAGTAGCTCCAGGTTTAAATTCAACCAGTTTAGCAACCACTATGCAAAAAGAATACCTCTTTAGTTCCAGCAAAGTTCTGGAACTGAGCTTCCAGTAGAGACTTGGACCACATGCTCATTCCCACAGAGAGAAAGAACTAGCAAGTTGGTCTTTTGCATATCATTTGCTTACCCATAAAACTATGTGTATGGGTAGAAGGGAATCAGTCCCCTACTCAGACCACAAAGGTTGAAAGTGACATAGGCGTAGTTACCCAGAGGAATATCGGGGTGCTGTTATCAAAACAAATGGAAATGGACATTTGACAGGCAAAAATAAAAAATGTTCAGTATAAGTGGTGAATGTGTAGTTAATTGAGTACAAAATCAAAGATTATGAAATGTCAGAGGGAGCCAGCTGAGGCTTGAATGATGGCAGAAATGTGTAGGTGGGTTTTGAGATTTTCTTAAAAATGATCAGCAACCCAAGAAGAGAAACAAAAACAGTAAATTGATGTGATTTACATGAAGTTCAGGATTGGAACAGTGAGCATGGTCACAGGACAAAGAGCAAAAGGAATGAAGGTGTCATGAAAGAAGAGCTGAAATGGTAATCCATGGGGCTCAGATTTGTCACGGATGCAATAAAGCCACAGAAACGTTGAAAAAGTAATCCCTGCGAAATGGGAATTTTGTCATTCACATACTGAATTAAAAGTTGACAGACCCAATCCTCATCTGATCCATATTTTGGCCAGAAGATAGCAGGTTTGAGGATGGGTTCCTTGGCCCAGATGAAACAACAATACTTTATCATCTGTTGCTTTTTCTTGTGCCTAATCCTCTCATTCTCCTCTCGATATTTTAGCATGAGACCTAAAGGACTATTGGAGGGGATATGACTATCCCCTTCCTTACCTTTGCCTATAGAAAAGTCATGATGAGGGTGTCAAAGAAAATGATGAGACAAGTCTTAATCATTTTTGGAGATTTATTCACCCAAGTTAAGGACGCTCACAGGAGACAGGTCTATGCCTTTCTCCGAAGATGATTTTGGGGGCTCCAAGTTTAAAGGGGAAAGGGCAGGATATTGAGAAGCACACAGTTTTCACTTAAACGAAAGGGGCAAAGGAAAAATGTGGGGAATCTGCATCTTACATAAGATAATACAGACAAAATGGGGTAGGGGAACAATCTGATACACATTTGTGTCTGGCAGCCTGGGTGACTGCACCTGTCAAGATAAGCTATCAATTAGCATTGCCATGGTGAAGTTGTAACAGCTCACCAGGAATTTCCTTGTTGGCAAAACATGGGGAAGGTGGGTAGCTTTTCATCTTGTAGCTATTTTACTTAGGAATCAAAAGGTGGAGACAGGTTTGCATGACCCAGTTCCTAGCTTGACTTTTCCCTTTGGCTAAATGAGTTTGGGGTGTCAACATTTAATTTCCTTTCACAGGGGGAAGATATTGGACAGAAGATAGTGCTAACATGTACCTCCTATTCGGATGGACAGTACGGCATGTGAAGATTCACACCGTGAACTTTTGCTCCAAGAACCACTGCAGGAGCATACCGGGAAAACCTAAAGAATTCACAGATCTTTGAAAGAAGCGCGCGTCACTGCAGATTCCATGAGAGATGAACAACTATTGCGTTTCCGTAGTCTGAAAGGGGGAAAACCTGCCTTCAAACACATATTCCCGCTGGGGAATCTGAAAATACAGACCACCAGAAAAGGATTTAACCTTATCTAGAGCTGGAATAGGATTTAGGGAGCTGTGTGAAATATAAAAGTAAAAGCAACAATGGAAAGAACCTTGTAGGCACTCCCATCCTTCAGCTTGAGCACAGGGAAACCATCCCTGATTGTATTTCACAGGAGTCCTCAGGGAAGGCACTCAGCAGAATTAGGGAAGGGTCACAGGGTCTCAGAAGCTTCCAACTGAATTTTGCAATAATTTTAACTGGGCACTAACTTTTTTGACAGAATCTGGCGGTGAATGGGAACTGCTGCAGATACAAGAGCAGGAGTTACAGCCAACTTTGTTGGCAGTTGGGGAGGGGCGAGGCCTGAAAGCAGTGCTTCCTTGCTAAGTGGGGTAGTTTATGGCCTGAGGCAAGGTCTGAGTTTCAGGAGAGCAAGCTGCCTGGATCTAAACTTGGCATTGTTAGTAGGACATTGTGGGAGCGAGACCAGCCTTGCCTACTGCGTGGGAGATGGGTGAGACCTTTTGCTACTAGCTATTCCCCACCTACCTGGTGAACAATACTGCTAAGCAGAGTCAGCCGTACTCCTCTCTGGAACATAACCTCATTGGTCTGAGAACCACCCTCCCAATCCCCACAGTGGCATGGCAAGCCCACCAGAGGAGAGTCTGAGCTCAGACTTCAGAGCTTTATGGTCCCATCCATTGCCTGAGTAACCAGAGTACCTCACCTGGTCAACTTAGGGGAGGCTTATATCTGACTACTAATAACACAGCTGGTGCTCTCTTGAAAGCACCATCTCCTGGCTGAAGGCCAACCAACTCAGGCCATTACAGCAACTCATGACAGAATGACCCTGCTCCCAGGAAGGAGAAAACAACAGTTAATACCACCACCTGCAGTATCCTGGCTAACCAGAGGCCCTGAGTCTATCCACATGAAAACTTCACCACCAGCATAATCAGCATTCAAGAAAGCCAGCACACTAAGCCTATCTGCAACCAAAGACTCTCACAGAATCTACTTCACTCTCCTGCCACCTCCACCAGAGCAGGTGCCGGTATTCACGGCTGGGAGACCTCAAGACGGACCACATCACAGGACTCTTTGCAGCCATTCCTTAGCACCAGCCTGGAGTTTGGTGGCCCCACTGGGTGGTTAGACCCAGAAGAGCAATAACAATCACAGCAGTCCAGCTCTCAGGAAGCCCCATCCCTAGGGGAAGGGGAAGAGCAGCACATCAAGGGATCACCCCATAGAACAAAAGAATCTGAAAAGCAGGCCTCAAGTTCCAGATTTTTCCGCTAGTGGTTAGTTTCTGACAGCAGAGATACAATTGCAGTGCTGGGTGCAGTAGGGAAAGTCTGCATCTCTACCCCATCAGGCAGGCAGCCTCTGGGATGGTGAAGGGGCTTGGAGAACGGGTCCTTGTTCCCCTCTGGCACTCCACCACAGACTCAGCTACACAGCTGGGGCTTCCCTCACAGGAACACAGCATGGAGGCACCTATAGACAGTCTTTCTGGAAAAATCCAGAGTAAGTGCAACCCCACAGGAGGACCACACTCCAGACTCAGGCCTGCATGAGAGGTAGAGTCACAGTTCCTTCTACATCTGGCTTTCTACTGCAGCAACCTAGACCAAAGCACTTACCATCTTTATTTTTATTTAACAAAGTATGAGATGTGGCACTGCAATTATGAAAAGAAACATGGCCCTCAGGGAAAGCTAATTATTAGCTTTCATATATTTTCTGCCGTGGATTGTAATCCTCAAGAGGATAGGGATTGTACTTGACTTATTTTTGTCTTCTTGGTGACACATTTGTTAGGACTGGCATAAATCTCCTGTCTTAATAGGGGTAGGTGTATTTTGGCTCCCAGATTCTAGCTATAATGATAAATAGACTTGTTATCTGAAAGGGAAACCTCCCTGTAGACATTGCCAAAAGGTTTGCCTGAGTTTGCTGAGATAATATGCCAAATTTTCTGGCACCTGATTAAGTTCCCTGACCACCTGAATGTTCATTCTGTGAACCTCTAATGTGGGTCTCATTCTCCTGGACAAGCCTTGCCTTTCTGTCTCTTCCTATCTGTCTTTCTGTTTTTCAGCCAGGGCGCAGTCCTAACCAGCTGAGTTCTCTGGCCTTACCTCCTTCAGCTCAGACTCCCTGGTGAAAGCTGTTTTGCCTAATTTTCCGTTAGTTGCCCCTCTGAATTGCTGACCCAGCATGATGGCCGGTTGCTGGGCTGGTGAAGCTTTGCTGCCCCCTTCTGGCGAATGTTTAGCAAATGTTTGTAATGAATTTTGGAAATAGAATTGCATGCCTTTCCAGATGCTAGTGTGTAATGAAAAGCTGCATTTAAAAAAATTAAATACTACTTATTGAGAAGATCCTGTGTGGAAGAAATACGAGGCACTGCAGATACAGTGGTGAGTGAAACACACAAAAATCTGTGCCCTCATTGAACAGTCGGGAGGAGACATACAAGACATACATAACGGGAAAAAGTAAATCCAAGATTACACAAGCAATATAGCTGGGAATGGAGATATGGAGTGGGGAAGGGGCATTTAAATTTTAGATAAGGTCAGGGAAGACCTCCCTGAGATGTAAAGCACATGAAGGAAGTGGCAAAGAGAACAGTAAACACTGAGGCAACAGGCTGTTGGAATGTTTGAGGAACATCAAGCAGGCCGTGTGGCTGCCACACTGCAGCAGAGTGACTGAGAGGGAGAGTAGTGCATAGACCAGAAAGCTGAGTGTAGGCAGGAGGAGGCAGAGCACACAGGGCCAGATGGGTAATTTTATACATAGGTATACATGCATACATACGTATACACATACACATACATATATGTATACACAGACGCAGAGACACACACAGAGATACACATAGAGACACATACATACATGCAGAGTCATGCAAAGACACACAGACACATAAACGAGACACACACCCACAGACAAATGCAGAGAATAGAGACAGACACACACAGATACATATGTACAGTCATAGGCACAGAGAGACACACACACACAGACATACACAGAGAAAAGAGACACACAAATACAGAGACATATGTACAGAGTCACACACAGAGATGGGAACAAACACACAGAGAGACAAATATATCTGAATCAGACTGGAAACTATTGGAGAGTTTTGAATAGAGGGGATATGTGGCAATGCATATTTACACTGATCACTCTGAAGATTGCATGAATAATAAATTATAGGTGTGGCAAGGGACAAGCAATGAGACATATTAGGAGGCGAGGAGGACGAGCAGAGAGACATATTAGGAGGCAAGGAGTAACAATGACTCGGACCAGCATGGTAAAATGGAGGTAGTGAGATATGGTCCAGTTCTGGGTGCATTTTGAAGACAGAAGATTTGCTGATGGATTGAATGAGGGGTATAAAAGAGAGGACTCAAGGATACCTGGATGGCTGAGCAATTTAATAGCTGAAGTCATTTATTGAGATGGAGAAGTCTCTGGGAAGGCCAGGTTGGAGGAGTGAAGGTAGAGAGAACAAAAGTTATTATTTGGAAATGTTTAGTTTGAGATGCTTGTTGGACATATACCAAAGAGGAGATCAGAGGAGAAAACTAGGGTAGTGATACAATGTTTGGCGACACACCCTAAAAATGGTACTTAGAGTCATGAAACTGGATGAAGTCAGATTAAGAACATCAGTTCAATGTGGCAGAAGTTCTTATCACTTGCAACCTGAACATGGTTCTGACTTCAGTGCAGCTTCGAGATTTAAATGCCCATTTTGCCATGTGGTGACTTTATTGTCCTATTACTTTTCTCTATTTGAACTGTTGTAAAACATATAGCTCTAGCTGTATTTATCTGTTTTTCATGTGGCATGACTATCTGTTATGAATTAAATTCACCTGTTTTTTTCTCCTTATTTCATCACAATTATAATAGCTGCTAGCAGCAACAATTGTGAGCACAATTGTAAATAAGCACACTTGCAAATACTGGCAGTGTTAGGGTGTGCTTGTTATATCTTCCCAAATCCTCTTGTTAAACTAAAAATATTTCTACATAACCTTTAAGACTCAGTTTAAATGTCATCCCCGCTGCGAAGCCCTTGTCTCTGGGCAGTGCCTACTGCTCCTTTTCCTGTATTTTCATCATGCCTTGTTTATACCTTTCTTATAGCCTTTGTCATGAAACTGATTATTAGCTTTCATATCTTTTCTGCCATGGATTGTAATCCTCAAGAGGGCAGGGATTGTACTTATTTTTGTCTGCTTGGTATCACAGTTACTATCACATAGTATGTGCTTGATAAATGAATACCACTTATGCTAAATACAATAATGAACTTTTCATTTGGGTCACTTTTATGTTGAATAAATTAAAATTATATAATTTTATAAATGTCTTAATTTCTAGATACTTCCAAATAAAGCAAGAAAAGGGCTGTCTGTTCCTCTCTGGGCTATGTAAATGGCTGCCTAGGTTTTTATTTTGTTTGACATTAATTTAGATGGCCAAAGAAGATTCTGTCTGAAGAGCTGTCGGACTTCATTCCCCACTGCTGCTCTTTGGCAAGTCTCATATCAAAGGCTGTTTGGAAGTTTATCCGTGTTGAGACTTTCTGGCTTCTTGTACTAGTTTGGAACGAAAACCTATTCGGGAGATTTACAGTGTGTGGTTCCCTGGTATGGGTCGAAACTTTTTATCAGGAATTATTAACCCCAGGCCTATTTCTAGGCAAATGTTTGCCCATGAATTTTGGTCCTTTATGTGTTTTGTTCTAATCCAGCTTAAATGTTGTTTCCATTAGCTGTATTACTTTATAAACCTTTATTTAGCTGTTAAATAATTTTCCATATAGGAAAGTGTTTTGGAGCCTCCCTGTTCCAAGAAGTTCAGATAGAAAATGACAGCCATTCAAGCTTCTACGTAGGCAAAAGATCTTTAAAGAAATATCTACTAAATATTTCCTATGTGCCAATTGTTTTGAGTGCTAGAGACACAGTAGTGTGTCCAATTAAGTTCTTGTCTCACAGAGCATACTCTTTAGTGAGGAGATGACAGGTAATAAACATTAAATAAACAAGTATGATAATTTCAGATAATGATATGCTACGAAGTAAATACAACTGGATGTGAGAAAAAAAGGTGTGAAAGGGTGACTCACAACTGAGTGTATGGGTGCCAAAGCATTGTGCCTACTTAATGTGTCAGTACAGGCATATGTTACAACGTGGATGAACCTCCCTGTTCCAGCTGTTGGATTCTTCTCTGAGGTCCCAGTGTTTTGGTTCGTCTCCACCACACTCTTCTGAATTTATTCTCTGAAATGTTTCTGTGTTCTGTGTTGGGTTCTGTACCCTGGAAGGCTGATGTCCACAGACCATTACCTGGGTTCTCTGTCCTATGGCTTCCGGTTGATTCTGCAAGCATTGGCTGGTGATCAGAGGGTGGAAGGAAAAAGAGGTTGAGATCTTTTCTCCTCTCTCTCCCTCCATGACTACAGCATAGTGTGGCAGTCCTGCATTACTTGACAGCCATAGCTCCTGGCAGATGGCACATCTTCTTTGCTGCTTCAGGACTAAGGGTGATAATAGTGTGAAGCTATAATAATCACACTACTCACACCTCTATAAATAGGACCTTCATTTAAGTTTCTTCTCCGAAGCCCTTTCATGTGTGGCTTCCATTTCCTGCCAGGAACATGAATGATACAGCAGGAATGTTAAAGAATAATCACCCATGTAGACAGATCCTCCCTCAGTCCATTTCCAGTTTCTCAGATATTCTAGCCCTGTCTCTTTCACATTAGAGGTATTTATATATATTTTGCAATTCATGATGAAAATCTTGGAAAGATCTATTCTGGGGGCTCCAGAGCCTCTGAAAAATAGTATCACACAGACCTGATCCCTTCTTTAAGGTTGTTTTTACCTATAATTTGGTTTAATGAGCCCACACTATTATTGCTATGCATAGCAATTTTTTTCAGGTGATATTGTAAAAACTAAATCAAAAGGTTTATACTTCAAGGTATTGGAAAATCTCTTTATATTAAATGGAAAAGTAATATTTTTGGTGAAATAAAGGCTTAATGATTTAAACAATGTGACTCTTACTATAACTCTTAATAGTGAAAGTGTATTTGCTGCATTATTTACTCAGTGGGGTAAGAGTGTGTCTAATTTATTTTATCTGTGAATATACTGAACTCTGGCTCACCTCTATGGTTATCAAAAATCATGTCTTCTTACATCCAAGAAGTTAAAAGTAATCTAACACAATATTCTAAATAATAAAAGATTAATCTCTACCATAAAATCCTCAATAAATGGCTTTCCAGTTTTTGCTATAATGTTTTCAGTTTGTGAGATCTCATCACGCCACCTTAAAAGGTCATCCACTCCGTTTACATCACCTTTAAGTATTAGAAAGTATTATTGATCTCAAATCAACCTCTCCATAACTTCCTTTTTCTCCTAATTTTTCTTATTGTGATAAAATACACATAACGTAAAATTTACTATCTTAACCATTTTAAGTGTACAGAGCAGTAATATTAAGTATGTTCATATTGTCAGGCTTTCATCACCAGCATCTATCTCTAGAACTCTTTTTAACTTGCAAAACTGAAACTATATACCCATTAAACAATAATTCCTGTTTCCCTCCTACTGGAAACCACCATTCTACTTTCTGTTTTTTTGTGTTTTTTTTTTTTATGATTTTGACTATTCAAAATACCTCAGATAAGTAGAATCATATAATATTTGTGTTTTAGTAGCTAGCATATTTTATTTAGCATAATGTCCTCAAGGTTCATCCACATTGTAGCATATGCCAGAATTTCCTTCCTTTTTAAGGTTGAAATATTCGTGTGTGTGTGTGTGTGTGTGTGTGTGTGTATAATGTGTGTGTGTTGCTTCCATTATTAAAAGAAAAACTTCAGCTGTATTAAATTTAAAGGAGTTTAATTGAGCAATGAACGATTCACAAATTGGGTAGCCCCCAGAATCACAGCAGATTCAGAGAGACCCCAAGGAGGCCATGTGGTCAGAACAAATTTATAGACAGAAAAAGAGAAGCGACGTACAGAAATCGGAGGTAAGGTACAGAAACAGCTGGGTTGGTTACAGATTGCCATTTACCTTATTTGAACACAGTTCAGTGTATTACTGGTTGAAGTATGGCTGTTAGGATTGGCCAAGACTCAGCCACTGTTACAGGTGCATACTGTTAAGTCAGGCTTTCAATCTTGTCTACCCACTAAGTTAGATTGCAGTTGGTCTACAAGGACTCAAATATAGAAGTATGAAGTTCTCTCAGGCCATATTTAGTTTCCTTTAACACCATATTTTAGCTATTGTGAATAATGCTGCTATGAACATGGATATACAAATACCCCTTTGAAACCTTGTTTTCAGTTATTTTAAGTACATATTCAGAACTGGAATTGCTGGATCATATGGTAAATCTATTTTTAACTTTTGAGAAATTGCTGTACTGTTTCTCACAGTGGCTGTAGTAGTTTATGGTCCTGCTAACAGTACACAAGTGTTCCAATTTCTCCACATCTTTACCAACACTTATTTTTTTTTTTTCCTGTTAGTAGTCATCCTAATGAGTGTGAGGTAGTATCTTACTGTAGTTTTGATTTGAATTTTCCTAGTGATATTGAGCATCTTTTCATGTGCTTATTGGCTATTTGTATATCCTCTTTGGAGAAATATCTACTGAAGTCCTGTGCCCATTTTTGAATCAGGTAGTTTTCTGTTGTGAAATTTAAGAAATTCTCTATGTATTCAGGATACTAATCCCTTAAAAGATATGTAATTTGCAAATGTCTTCTTGCAAATATTTTCTACCATTCTGTAGGTTGACAC